CTACCATTTTCTGACCTACTTTCCTTACAGTATTTTTGTTTCATGCACATAAAAATACAATATTTTGTTGAGTTATCTTTTTAAGTCATACCACATCATACCAGCTTATAATATTCCAAAATATTCGACATATTCTGTGTCGAAGAACATTTTTGTTTTTATGTTTTTGTTTTATGTTATTATTCTGATTTTATTTAAAGACTGAGACATTAGTCAGCATATTTATCCAGCACATTTTCAACAAAATTCAAATTCTTCAATTTTGACACAGGAGAGACAAAGTATAATTCTGGGTGAATGAATTTATTTATATTGTATAAATTAAAATATTAATAAAAGTTGTAAGTATAAAGTAAATTGAAATAAATGGCATAAATCGTTCTTTAAAAATTAAAAAAATAACAGTATTGGTGTAATAAATTCATTCTTGGTTAATATAAAATCAAGAACAAGTTGAACGACGAAATAAAAATAAATTAATTAATTAAAATTACGATAACTTTCAACTTTTAAATTTTTTTGGCGAAACCAGGGCCTATGCACGAGGAGTGTTCGCTATTTGGAGTTTCGAATCACCAAAAAGTTTGGTCCAAATCCGTGACACACCAACCTGTTCGTCCCTTGGTAGATAGTTCTCTTGCTTCTCTTGAGGTATTTTCCTGAATTCTGGAAAGTTTCAAAACTTATTTACATTAATAAAAAGCGGTAAGCTCCTTGAAATGGCTTCAAACCATCAACTCAGCTCTTTGAGTTAGATTTGAAAATATGGTAATAGTATCAAAAAGAAGCATCAGGTATTTTAAATTTTTTCGTTGTCGTCGAAATTGTCAGTCAAAAAATTAATTTACACCGATTTCCACGAAAGTCGGTATCTAAGGGTGTTATAGCGCTAGAACCACGACAATGAGGACCAATCCAATTTTCGACCATTTTCTAACCTACTTTGCTTTCAGAATGTTTGTTAACATATGCTAAAAAGTAATATTTTGTTGACTTATCTTTTTAAATCTTTACAAATTAAAATATTCTGCGTCGTTTTCACATAACATTTTTGTTTTTATATTAACCAACAATGATATTAACGCACCAGAAATGTTATTTTTTAATCTCTAAGTAATGATTTATGCCCACTTATTTGAGAATATCCTTTGGGGAGAGAGCCCTCGGAGGATCTGGATCGTAAAAGACGAGACGTCCTCACCCGTTTAAAAAAATAGGCCGTGCAAAGTTGATGCACGGACACTTACTTTTGGGCGAAAGACCGAGTATATGTCCGGTATGTACAGGGTTACTCCATGTGTCCCACCTACTTGAATTGAATTGGCTCCGTATAGAGAGCGTGTAGGAATGCCACCTGCTATGAGAATCGTGTTGAGCACGTCAGCGAGTATCAGGGTTCAGAGGGAACAGGGTTCTTTTATTTGAATATTAATTAAAATATATAAAAATTGATAAATCGTTTTCAAGAAATTGTCAAGTGCATTGTGTAACTGAATTAAACAATAAAATCGGGTTTTTATTTTGATTTAAAAAAACGAGGTTAATTTCTGACAAACAATTTTTGTTATTTTGTGTATTTTCTTATAGAAATATTTTATAAATATATTTTAATGCCAGGTAAGTCTTTAAAAAGTTCTAAGTTCCGCTTCTTTCAAATAGTATTTTTGACGTTAAACTCTTTTTCAGCTGTTTTTGAATTAAAATTCCAGTCGTTTCAATCAGAATTCCTATAAAGACTAAAATCATAAAAATTCTAAGGGTCAAAAAATCAGTATATTTAAATTCAAACAAAAATTTTTTAGGAGTCTTTAAAGATGCTGAAATGGAATTTTGTGTTAGTTTCACACACAAAATTATGATCTAGTTTTCTTGAAAAAATCAGGTTTGTAAAAAGTTTTTGGTTATTAAATTCACTAATTTTGTGGTCCGCATGACCAATTAATACATTACAATTAATTAAGGTTTTTCGTTGAGATGAAAAAAAGTTAATGGCACGAGCGGGATTCGAACCCACGATCTTCGGCTAAATACGCCGCTGCTCTACCACTTGAGCTATCGTGACCTCGATCCACTCAGACACTAACTTCCCATTTCAACCCCACCTTATGAGTTTTCCTTCCTTTTTGCCATTTTTCAAATGTCGTGTAATCGGATTGGATTCTCGACGACAAATGAACTTGCCACGGTGAGCTTTAGTGAAGTGTACTTCATTTTAATTCATTAAATTCACTAATTTCGTGGTCCGCTTGACCAATGACATGACAATTAATTATGGTTTTTAGTTGAGAGGAAAAAAGTTAATCGCACGAGCGCGATCGAGGTCACGATAGCTCAAATGGTAGAGCAGCGGCGTATCTAGCCGAAGATCGTGGGTTCGAATCCCGTTCGTGCCATTATCTTTTTGGTTATTGTTAAACATTGATAGCTTTTACTGTATTTTTATGGCAGTCTCTTTAAAACATGCTGTAAAACTGTAAAATGATGTATTCACATATTTGATTTCAACAAGTAGGTCGGCGAAATAGATTTATTAAAAAACGGGAAATTTCAACTAAAATATTTTTTTAGACATTTAGGAGTGCAGAATCATCAAAAAATTTTTGATCAAAATCCTCGACCCTTCAACTTTCTGGAAAGTTCGAAATTGTACACACTGTGCACCACAGTGGTTACGTTTAATAGAAAAATAAACCCAGAAAATAATATCCTCGTGTTATCGTTAAAGGCAGTGTTATGTTTACTAACAGATTCTAGGATGCAATACAAAACGACAGTACAATGGATTTACATAAATAATACCAAAGCGGAATATGTCGAGTCTGTTATTATTTCTACTAAATTTCTAATCTAACCGTTGATGTAAAAATGCTCTTAAAAAAAATAAACTCTTCAATTAGTAGTCTCGCCGAAAGAAATTGTTAAAAATGTAAACACATCTTTTGAATAATTTCCGCTAATGTTTGCATAAATATAAATTATTATAAATTTTTTAATAAAAAACAGTAAAAAGCTTTCAAATATAAAAGGCAATTGACACACTTTTTCTGAAGTGTCCAACAGTGTTTGTACACAATAGGAATTGTATTTATCATTCTGAAAGTTAAGTCAGGTGTTTATTTTCATTTTCGGAGTATGCAGATGGCAATTGTCGTATTTTTTTTTTTTTTTTTTGAATTATGAAAAATTCATTTCAGTTCGTGGTCCGATTGACAAATTAACTTTTTTCAATTAAGCAATATATATGAAAGGTACTGGTTGAGATAAAAAAGTCAGGGTCACGAGCGGGATTCGACCCCACGATCTTCGACTAGATACGCCTCTTCTCTACCACTTGAGCTATCGTGACTTCGATCCGCTTGGACACTAACTTCACATCTCAACCTCACCTTTTTTTGAATTTCCCTCCTTTTTGTCATTTTTCAAATGTCACAATAGCTCAGGTGGTAGAGTTGCGGCGTATCTAGCGGAAGGTCGTGGGTTCGAATCCCGCTCGTGACGCCGACTTTTTTATCTCAACTAAAAACCTTAATTAATTGAAAGATATTAATTGGTCAATCGGACCATGAAAATTAGTGAATAAGTTAAAATTTAGTATATCTTCACTAAAGCTCTCCGTGGCCATTTCAATTGTAGGAGGCTGCTCTATCTGGAAACGACACCAAAGAGATCTCAGCCTGGGACATTGTATCGCATAATAGAGTCTTAGTACGCAAGAAATGGCAAAGTAAATACGAACAACCACCCAAAAGCAAAGGCATCTGGTACTCTGCCTCCCAACCAAACATCCGGTCTAAACCGTGGTTTTCAAACGTCAAAAGAAATAGAAAATTCTTTACCACTATATGTAGACTGAGGTTCAATCACAATAGACTCCCATCACATAAGGTAGGAACTATACAAACAAGCAAATGCTCGTGCGACGATACCTCAACGGCGGACGCAAACCACATCATACTGGGGTGACCGCTGAAGACTACCGGAAGAGAACATATTTTTAAAGCGCTCAAAAAATATATAATCCCTCTCCCCACCTCGGTAAACTTAATACTAAAATACACAAACTGCGTTGAAATACTGGATACCGTATACAAAATCATCACCGATAACGACATAGATATTTAAGATACATAACCATCCTTGAGACATGGTGGCGTCCGGGAGCATCTTTGCGTCTTCAATTAAGCAATATATACGACAGATATTGGTTGAGATAAAAAAGTCAATGTCACGAGTGGAATTCAAACCCACGACCTTCGCAAGACGCAAAGATGCTCACGGACAACTCGCTTTGCCATTTCTTGCGTACTAGACTCTACTATGCGATACAATGTCCCAGGCTGAGATCTCTTTGATGTCGTTTCCTGATAGAGCAGCCTCCTACAATTGAAATGGCCACGGAGAGCTTTAGTGTAGATATACTTCATTTTAACTTATTCAGTTCACTAGTTTTCGTGGTCCGATTGACCAATTAATATCTTTCAATTAATTAAGGTTTTTAGTTGAGATAAAAAAGTCAGCGTCACGAGCGGGATTCGAACCCACGACCTTCGGGTAGCGCCGCTACTCTACAACCTGAGCTATCGTGACATTTGAAAAATGACAAAAAGGAGGGAAAATTCAAAAAAAGGTGAGGTTGAGATGGGAAGTTAGTGTACGAATGGATCGAGGTCACGATAGGTCATGTGGTAGAGCAGTCCAACCAAGCCGAAGGTCGTGGGTTCGAATCCCGCTCGTGACACTGACTTTTTATCTCAACCAATACCTTTCACAAATATTAATTAATTATGAAAAATGCTTCAATTTTTCATTCTGTACTGTACAGATCTATATTATATATTATAATTTTTCTAGTATTTATTATTATTATATACGATTAAAATATGAAAATATTTTCATCTGCTTACATTAAATTAGAATTATTTGAAGCAAGAAATAAAAGACAAACAATGATGATTATCAATTGAATCACTGGGTAACTCAGGAATAAAAAAAACATTAAAATTATTTACACATTTGTTTATTTAACCGTTTTTATAAATTATTAGAAAGTCGAAAAAAACTAAAATATTTTGAGCAATGTTGTGGATCCATATTTAACCATTACCGGTGGGCAAATTCTTAGAACTTACTGTTAGTTAACATGGAAAGAATTGGCGCATTTCCAGAGGATGGTGTAAAATTTCATCGTTTCTTCGTACAATCTGTTGTTCATTTGGTTGATATCGGTCCTGTAGTAGAGCAGAGCGTTCTTATATTCTCCGTACACCTGGAGGAAGCAAGGGATCGCTTTGAAGACATTGGGCTGAGGACATACCTCCCACGAGTTGACCCACGCCGAAGAGACGTTCTGGCAAAGTTTTCCCATCAATACGCCGGCGTCGACGAGCACTTCGTGCATGACCACAAGTTCGTTGTTAAGGTCTTCGCAGGCGCTGGCGACTTTCATGACCTCCAGCATTGGCTCAACGACTGCAGACTTCGCCAAGTCCTGCGTCGGATACGCATGCCGACCATAAACTGCCTGTCAACAACATTGATCTGTTAAATATACGATCTCAGACAATTTTTACATAATAAGTAATAATTTAATTAAAATTTTCAATGTAGCAAAGTTTGCTGTATTTGTTTCCCTTGCGGCAGTATTACGGACAGATTTCATTCTTTTCAGCAATGTCCAAAAACAGAAAATTAACGTGATTTATTAGAATTGTTTAAGGTTCTTTGCCAGACCTTGAATTCTTTAAAATTTGAATTAATGTATATAATCCCTTCATCATTGTCATATTGGAAATATTTTATTTATTTTACAAGAAAGCCCATTGCCACTTTTAAAAATTAGCGATAATAGAACATGATTGATTGAGATGCAACTCATTGTGTGAACAGCTGGACAAATAAAATTGAAATTAAGTGTGTTTGTGATCGATGATTTTGATTAGTTTCAAATCTTCTAAGCATTTTCAGAGCATATTTCCAATGTAGAAATATTGAGGATTAATCAGGAAAATTAAAAATATTGTGAACTTTTTCAATTGAATTAAATGTTATGTTTTTCAAAGAGGAATAATATTGTCTAACCGTTAATATCATCATTTTTGTTCGGAAAATAATGAAATGTTATTATTGCAGCAATCATACGTCTAATTAAGCTTATGTTTTTGCAATTACATAGAACAAATATTAAAGCAAAATTCATTTGAGTTTATGTGTGAAAACACACCGTTCAAAGAAGAATTAATTAAGTTAATTATTCCAAAAGAAGTAGCTCATAAAATCAAATCAAACATAAACTCAAGAAAACCCCTAAGATGTGATCTCATCAAGAGAGAAAAATCTTGACAAATTTGGTCAGTATGGTCTCTTGGTGACGAAAGAAAATTCAATTGTTACTGCTAATCTTTAAATTTTAAGGTCATCATTAGGGCAAAACAATCTTAAATATGTTTACAAATTGACATAATTATGTTTTTAGAAGAAGATTCCAAATTTCTTTGAATATTGCCAGTCCCAACATTGCCAAACACTGTTGCAAGCTTTTGACCTATTTCAAGGTCATAATCGGGGCAAAACAATCTTAAATATTCTATATATCAAGCTGATATTACATTTTTGCGTAATATATATAAAGATTTTTAATAAAAAAAATAAACGATAAAAAGTGAAACACATTGTAATTTTTTAACACACTGTAATAATATCAGTTACTTTCAGTTTGAAAATAAGCTCAAAATACCAATAATGGTTGCATAATGTAACGTATGAAAGCTCAAAAAAGAAAGACAAACAATGCAATGATTTGATTTTTTTTTTTTTTAATTCAGATTTTGTGCATGTTTTCAGTCAAGACAAAAACGACAGTTATGTTCTATGTACAGTAAAAATGAGTTGATATTGGATATAAAATGTGGTTGGCCTTATATAGGGTGTCCCATGAAAGATATCCACCTATCCTAACTAATTTATGACCGATTTTGATATTTATTTATTTATTTAGTTTTTTGTGTAATTGTCGTTATGAAGTCTAGTTTTTAAATGTTTCATCCTTTTCTGAAATAACTTTTTTTGTTCATTGTTTGTTGAAATAAAACATGCCCTTTGGAACTTTGTCAAATGAGACCCTCCATATAGTATTTCGGATTTCAAAACTAGATTATTTTTGGGAATTATTCGCATTTTCCCAATTTCGATACGTTAATATTTACAGGAGTTATCGAAATGAGAGTTTGGTAGGTATTAACAATTTCACGTCTCGTAGTGAAGACGATTGATATTTTGTACTGTAGAGTCACCAAAAATTTGGTTCAAATCCGTGACCCACGAACCTCGTTGTGAAAAAGTGAAATGTATTGTAATTCTTTTTATAATATTAGTTATTTTCAGTTTGTAAATAATCTCAAAATAGCAGTAGTGGTTGTACAATGAAACATTATGAAAGCTCAGAAAAGCAATTTTTTTATTAAGATTTTGTGCATGTGTTCTCTGAAGACAAAAACGACAGTTATTTTTTATGTATAGTAAAAATGAGTTGATATTTCATATAAAATAGGGGTTGACCTTATATAGGGTGTCCTACGAAAGATGTCTATCTCCCCTAACTAATTTAAGAACGATTTTTATTATTGTATTTATTATGTTTTATTTGTTTTTATTTATTTTTTTAAATTTTTTATTTTTTGTAATTGTCGTTATGAAGTCTAGTTTTTAGATGTTTCATCCTTTTCTGAAATAACTTTTTTTGTTCATTGTTTGTTGAAATAAAATATGCCCTTTGGAACTTTGTAAAATGAGACCCTCCATTTTTTATTTCGAATTTCAAAACTAGATCATTTTTGGGAATTATTCGCATTTTCCCAGTTTCGATACCTTAATATTTACAAGAGTTATCGAAATGAGAATTTTGCTAGGTATTAACAATTTCACGTGTAGACGACTATTTTGTACTGTAGAGTCACCAAAAATTTGGTTCAAATCCGTGACCCACGAACATAGTTGTCTCCTTATAAGTTGAACCGTCCAAAAAAAATGTAATGAATATGATGAATATGTTTTTAATTGAACACCAAACTCTAAAGTGATCGAGATGTAAAAAAAATAAAATTACTAATTATAAAACTATGTATATTTTACTAATGAAAAAAATATAAATGTCAGAACTAGTCTACTAATCTGCTGCAAATATGTTATATTTGAATCACCTTTAATTAATCAAAAATTAGCTTTGTCATTTTCAAAGGAAAGACTATTATATCCATTTACAATCTGAAACCTGTCCTAACAGATTAAAAATGTTATTATATTGTTAAAAAATAAATTTATAAAAAGGATAATTAATAATATATGTATGTATCATAACTAAGTCACGTGTATAATATACAAGATATAATATATGATAATTTCAATCTTCGTATGAGGCACAGCATCACATTAGATTCTGGTGATGACGTGGCATGTAATTAGAAACCGCTTAAGGGTTGATGATCAAGAAGATGCTGATGATGCGAGTTGAACATCTTAGAAATGTACATTCGAGTTAAATTGTGGTTTGGCAAGATAAGCAAATACGTGAACGATCATTTAGCGTATTGATCTGTATATTAAATTAATTAAAATCGAGTTTTTGTAATTTTCAGTTGCATAATTGTAGTGTTTTCTTGTTGGCTTCTTAATTCATGTTGGGATTCTGAAACATTGCTTTTATTAAAAGGATAGTATAATCTAATAATCTCGAACTTTCGCTCTGTTGCTTTGTTATGTAGTGTATAAAAATAATAAGTGTTTTAATTTAATTAAATCTTTAATTTAATTTAATGTTTTAATTACAAAATGTGCATTTTAGTGCAAAATTATTGGATTTGGGTATTTAGACGTATTATTAGATGTATTTAACATCTATACCTGGAAGGTGCATCCCAAGACGGTGAACAATACAATTAAGGCCGACATGCTGCACGAAAAAGCACGTTTGAATAATGATGTAGATTTATGACCTTTTCTATTGATTTATTATCTAATCAGTTATATACCAATTTATCGGTGGCAATGAGATAAGAATTCGCTATATAAGAAAAGGTTCGAGAATCAAAAAACATCTTCATATTCATCACAAAGGGCAACCACGACTCGTTTGATAATTGTTCTTGTTTCTTTATGGGAGTTAGGATAATATAAATCTGTCCATCATCGATCAAAACTTGCTTTTTTAAAACAAACATGAATAGTTTTAAAATTAAACATTTTGTTTTCTTAGGCCAACTTCATTTCAAGTTCATTGAACGATAGAATTGTTTAGAAAAACACAAACATGTTTTTATCGAAAATATTTTTTAGATAATTGCGGTAAAGGTTTTTAACAATTTTTTTATTTGTTTTATACTTGAAATAGTAGTGACTGATACAATTTTTGAATTTTGGGGATTCTTCGGCAGGAAAGTTCCTCTTTGGGTGTGAGGTGAAAAGCGACAAATAACGGATTCATATACATGCTGTACATCGAAGAAAAGGTTTGAGAATAAAAATGTTAAGATCTATTTCTGAACTGGGGTTCGGTGATTGCGAGTGTAATCCTGATTGACCCAATGGCACTGTAGAGAAACTGTCCTACGATAACATGGGTACTTTTGGTGAAGAGATGACCTATAAATGGTGGCTTTCCGATTGGCTACTTGGGTGATTCGTCGCAGGTTGGTGCGTACCACTCAATCTTTGAACCTGACAATGACGTCGCTATCATGATGAAGACTCGGTATTCCCAGGATTGCGGCGGTCAAAAAAATTATACTACTGCGAAATAAGTCAATGATCGGGTTCTCCGTGAAAACGTTAAACTGAATTTGTTTCTAGTAGTTTGTTCTAGGATAGATTCACGCCGGAGAAATGAAGGTTTTTTTTGTGGTTGTGAGTATCACTCACCAGGCTAAGCGATAAAATATTATGTTGTCCTTTCATAAATCTTGGTTTTGGGCATTTGATTAAAAATAAAAATACAATCAGTATACAATAGGATGCTATTAATCAAATATGTACCGAAATTAAATAGGAATAATAAAAGATTTAATTAGTGAGGAAAAAATGCAAACAATTCGTTAAAGTTAACAATATACTAAAGCAAATTGTAAAAATGTTGCATCCATTTTCAGAAAATCAGAGGTTAGTGTCGCCATTATTATTATTATTTTGAAAATGACGTCGAGTCTACACATTACCCAAGACTATTGGTTTGACTTCTGACAGAGGTGAACCGAGGCCGTTGCCCGTTGAGTAGGGAAATTATCTCTACAGTACATGGAAAAAATAGAACATTGACAGTGGTGAATTAAGTATGCAAGGAAAGGGTTTTGATATCCGGTATGGTATATGCGCGGCCTTGGGTCACAGCAGCGGGCACAGATAGATGATCAAATAATACCTCCGAGTCATAACTATTTTACACTGTATATTATTTATTGAAACCAATATATTTATTATCGAGATGGGAGGGATGCTCCCTTGAAACCTGAGGAATATCGAGGATTCGGGCAGAAATGAATATGATCTGTGTTGTGTGATTGTTTATTTGAATGAAACGGGTCAATGAAAAACTGTTCGTGAATATTGAATTAATGTGCGGAGTGTGTAAATTATTAGTGTGGAAGTAGAAACCCCGAGAAATATAGAGTACTCTGGGACAGCGTGAGACTTTCGGGGGACTGTGGTCTCCCTTTATCCACAATAGGGTAGTAGATCTATTGCACCAATTTTACGGTAGTAAAGCACTTTCCGAAGCACCTCTTCGCTTTTTTTTCTAGCAGTTAATTTTGTTTTTCCTAACGGTGGCTGTACCGTTTTGGGGCTAACTCTCCACAGTAATTTAAAAACTTAATATGTAATATCTTGATTAACTTAAGATATTATTAAATCCATTACAGTTCGTGGTCCGATTGACCAATTAACATTTTTCAATTAATTAATATTTATGCAAGGTATTGGTTGAGATAAAAAAATCACGAGCGGGATTCGAACCCACGGCCTGAGGCTAAATACACCGCTACTCTACCACTTGAGCTATTGTGAGGAAAGGAGGGAAAATTCGAGAGGTGAGGCTGAGATGAGAAGTTGGTGTCCGAGCGGAACGAAGTCACGATAGCTCAAGTGGTGAGTAGCGGCGTATTTAGCCGAAGGTCGTAGGTTCGAATCCCGCTCGTGACGCTGACTTTTTTATCTCATCTGATACCTTTCATAATTATTAATTAATTTAAGATATTATGGCCGATGACTGCTGATTCATAGAACATTCTGCAGGTTTCTATATCAGTTTTTCCCATTTACTAATTTAATGGGAAAAGCCAGTGTAAAAGCTTATTATTTTTTAATTATTGCCTGCTGAGTTGAACGGATTAGTTTTGTTTTTTTGATGTGCAGATTGGCATACATTTACGACTTTTCATATTAATCTCATTCCGTCTATATGTTTTTCCATGGAATCTTTTGATATATTATGTTCCAGAATACTTCGTCATCAAGACGAAAAATATATTTTTATTTTTTTAAGGAAGGTGCTTTAAGTTGGGATTTCTTCTTATTTTGCATGATATTTGACTGGACATAGGTTCTCACTCCACCTTTCTCCAATTTTGAGGTTAACTTGTATTTGAGATGAAACGTTACCGAATGGGATATGTATCCGGCCGAATATCGTTTCCCCAACGTGGTTAGAGCAGTTGTCGCAGTGGAACGGATGGCGACATCAAAGAACAAAAATATGGGATATTGAGGAGGCAATGGTGTAGTAGTGGGACCAAGGGGATACATATCTGAACGTACTAAGAAGTCGCCCAGGGAACTCAGGATCAATCCGCTCCCGAGAATGCTCCTCAATCTGCATAACACCGCTGAGGTCCGCACTTTTATAGCCTGCTATTGAGCGTAATACCTGAATGCGACCGACTCTGGCTAGGAAACGGTTAGGAATGGTTAGGGTACTCGAAGGTACTCGAATGGACATATACCGCATGAGGGTTGCGGAGGGTGAACTGCACCAAAGGACGCGAAAACTAGCGATCGCCGGAAAGAGATTTTTTAGAAACTGCCAAAAAAAAGAGCAGACCGAAGAACACGCTTTATGCATTTGTGAGAATCTACAAAGGTGCATATTCATGCAAATAGAAGAGGAATCGCCGCAATCAAAATCCTACACTAAGGAGCCGCTGGCAAGGCTATGGAGGTTGATTAACAAACAACCTGAAGATTACCAGTTATTTATAAAATAAGATGATCATTATAGATCTATTCAGCTCGAAGTGCAGAAGGCCTTGTGACCGGTTTTAACCCCATTTCTAATTTAAAATCCGGAAAAAAATAGGATCCGGTCAACAGCAGACAAGAGTGACGATATCACTTCCTTTGAGAGCTGCTTTGTTGCTGTCAGTGATTAATGGTCGAATTTGGCTTTCATATCTTGGCTTTTTACCAATTATATTATTTAGTTTACAGTCGTGAAGTCTATGCTCTTTTTACTTGCTGCTACTTCTCTGGATTTAAATGAGTTTTTATTGAAAGCAAGTCAATCTATAAAAAAGTATAGAGTTATTTTATTTTCCTTTATAATTTGTTATGTGGACTAAACGAGAATGTTTACGGCAGTTTCCACTGGTTTACCCTTCGAATATGCCTATTTTCCTCTCCAGTGTATTATTTTTTAATTTTAAAAATTATTAGCTGTACTACCATTGCCAAGGTTGTAATAATTGATTACTTAAATTCGTAATCGCTCTGCCATTTTGCTGTGAATTGTAAACGTTTGAAGGGCAAAAAACTAGGAACTAGTGTTACCAGTAACATAAACGTCGTTAGAAAAAAAGAAATGTTTATGGTTACTAACAAATGGATGGAGAGAAACAATTGCAGATGATGTGATTACTGTTGTTGAGAAAGTAAATGCCAGTCGGGCCGCCTAACATCCAGATTATGAGATAATAGATGGCCCGAAGTTACATTAGAGTGGCAATTACTCCAGTGTCGAAGCTGTAGGGGACACCAACCCCTCGGGGCAGAGAGCTTCTTGATCCTCAAAGACTTTTGGCACAAGAAAGATTTTAAAAATAGCATTGAATTCTTCATACATTATATATATATATNATCTAAACTAAAAACCTTAATTAATTGAAATTGGTAATAGTAATGATGAGACCTGTCATACTTCGTAAAAAATGTATGGTGTTTAATGACCGTTAGCCAATGATTATTTGGATATCATGAGATGGGGGTCTGGTGTGACGCAGGTTTTAGAAATACATTTTCTTTATCATGCCTACGTTTGGATCTTTATTGAGATCATCTTCAGGCCCTGGGATTTATAAACATTTTTTAAATTTTACAAATACATGTATGATGTGAAAAAAAATATGAACTTATACAATACTAGAAAATTTTACAATAAAAAAAAATGAATTCATGCAATGCTAGAAAAACTTAGATTCAATCAAAGTATTTGGCTCACTGGGCACTCTCAACACGACGCACAATAATGACACATCTACACGGAAAACAAACACTTTGTGCTCTGAAGATGATCGAAATGTTGGCATGATAAAGAAAATATTTTTGTAAAACCTACGTCACACCAGAACGCACCTCACGATTGCCAAATAATCATACTTTGTTAGCTTGTCCAGGCTCCTTTAATGTCAAACTCCTTGGAGGGATTTGATACAGTTTGTTTATTGGTATGAAATGGAGTATAATATTAATTAAATTTAATTAAAACCAACTGAATTTCTTCAATATGAATTATATTCTAATTTCGTCGTAGTTTTAAGCGGCATGTTTCATAATGTGAAAGTCATGATTTGAACGTACTAAGAACAAACTAACATTTAAAACCAAAAAAAAATTATGGTAAACCCTAAGCATGTTTATTTATTGTAGCTTCGTATCTTGTTTTGACGTGTTTAATTAGTTTATGGTATATTAATTTGTTGAATAGTGGATGATTTTCATTACTTTTAAAGTAGAGTGACTTGAGGTGTTCAGTGGCACCTCTTGATGACTGACTTGAAAAAAACACCTGTTATATAATCTTAATAACTAAAACCAGTACAATTTTTTCTTTATTTCACAAATTGCACTTATATATTCAGATAAGGCTGGAAATTAATTTTACCAAAGATAACGGTAATATTTGCAAAATTTTAATTGGTGTGTCAAATTATTTCTATCGCTTTCTCCCCTTTTAGTGTAATTAATTATTACAGAGAGGGAAGCTGAGATAAGATTACCCTCGTCTAAATAATATTTAAGAAGGTTAGAACAATCGAAACGGACTATTCTATACAAACTATCAAACATGTATGGGTTGTACGCGTGCCTGATCATCGCCCTTGTACAGGTAAGTGTTCTTAAAACGCAATATATTTTTTTTTAAGGTTGTGCAAGTTGATAATTTAATATCCGACTAATTAACCTGAACTATAGTACGTTTTTTTGTAAACCTTGATTTAGTTCTAACCTTTTGAACGCTTTCAAAATTCAAAAACAGATGCAGTTTTTTATTTTCATAAGTTATTTTTACTTGATATACATATTTAGTATTAATACTTTTACCGTAGATTTGGATTGATTAAAAAACCTTTTGCAACACATTAGCTTTTTGAATGATCATTATTTAAATTATTACTGTAATAAAACTTTTCACAGGGAATCCAAGGTTCTGTTCTTGATATCGAATTCGACGAAGTAGACTTTCTCGACACGACAGACGAGTTTGACAATCAATCGTTCTTGACAGAATTGGAACAATTTTACGATGCGACCGAGCATAAGAAGAACTGCAGCGAACTCGCCCAAGGAGTGTTGGCAGTGTACGACCTTTCGCACAACCTTACCGATTGGGCTTACGAGTCGATGATGCATCTCAACGACGACGTGTACACCGTCCTGCAGTGCACCGTAACAGCCCAGGTCCAGTGTCTCTTCGACACTTTACAGAAGACCCGTGACGATGCTCTGAAAGTGTTACCGGAGTTCTTGGCATACCGTAAGGAATTCGAAGCGCTTTACCACAGAGTTAGAAATGGACTGAAATTGTGCTTCCGTCCATAGATAAGAAAGCCAATCAAACTATTTCATTCAAATGAATAATGCACTAAATTTTTATTATACTTTATCTGAATAACATCTAATTACATACCGCAAAAAAAAAAAAAAAAACATGAGTATAATAAAATATAAAACCTACATTTTTTGTTAAATTGTTTCTACCCAAAGATCTTGTGAATTTGTTTGGTTCCAAATAAAATAAGTGTTGTACATAAATATATGCAGTAGTGACATCGCACTACACTATGTGGGCATAGGTAAGTACCTGTTTTCATTTAATCAATTTGTTTTAAATTCTCAAACAACTTTTTTTAAATATTTAAACAACAACAACAAAATTAAACAGCTGTATCATACTTAAGTCGTTGTCAAACGAGATTCCTCCAAGAAATAGACTGTGTGAATCATTTTCCTAGTTGCCAATTTTTATTTTATTTTATCAGATTATAATGAATGTTTATTAAGTTCATTCCATTTATACACTGACGGGCAAATTGAACTTAATCATTATTTGTTATTATTGAATTTAAAATGAAATTCATTATCGTTCATTAGTTAAAGGCAATGAAGAGCTATCGTAATCAAAATAAACAGTAAATAATGCTTTGTTTGCTTCGTTTGTTTAGGCATGTACTGGTTAATCCAATATGCACAAAAAGTAGCTTCTGCTACGCCGAACGATCGCTTTCGGTTAATCTTTTTCATTCGTTGATTTCATTTTATATTTTTAAATCTTTTACCACGGCTCGAGGCTTTAAGATTTAAGTGAGTTTGACAGCGTCAGGTTCATAACATTATTAGAGGAAAGATAAAGCCAGCGCGCAGTTGTAAGAAGGCAGTGTAATTCATTCAACAATAGGAAGGATTCTTCGGATGTTCAGAGACACAGGGGTTCACACTAAAGGGCCAAGACAAGGTCGTACTAAGTTTACTAGTTCTAAACACAAGAGATATATAGATAATAAAGAGATATAATAGATTCAACCATCATCAGGCTCTAAAAACCGCAGCATACGGGAAATGAGATAAGAAATCTGAAAAGACAAGTTCGAAATATTTCGATTTCCTCCAGACCTGGTAAGATGAAGGCTCAATGAAAATAACCTCAGGGCCCGGCACCCGGCTTGTGTTCCTGTTATTACCATAGCCCAGAAAAATGGCCAGGCTTCAAATTCTCATGAAAAATGTGAATTAGACAATAGATGATTGAGAACCAGTTCTCTTTACAGATGAGGGGAGAGTTGGCCTTAAATCTTCAGATGAGCGTAATTACATATGTAGACGCTCAGGAGAAAGGTATGCCCTGTGCTGTTTGGTTCCTAGGTGGCATTCCACGGTGGGGCTAATGATGTTCTGGGTGGCTTTTCCTTGAACGTCCCAACCGAATTGGTCGTTGTGCGAGGAAGATCTCTTCACAGAGATATTTAATAGACATAATCGAAGAACATCTGCCATTGGGTTCAACATGTTGTGCCTCCCCCCCACATCGGTGAGGGATTCTTGCTAATCCTGGATAATGCTAGGCCTCAAAGACCACGTATTCTGGGTGACCACCTGAATTAGGTTGGATAGAGTGCTCGTTGTAGCCAACTTGAAGTCCAGATTTGGACCCAATCGAACACATTGAGACCAACTTAAGCGACAAGTACAACGACGAATCCCACAGTTGGAAGAGTTGGAATCAGTTGTTCTTGATAAATGGAAAAGAATTCCTCGAGGTTTTTATCAAATATCTTTTCCAAGGAATGCAAAGGCATAAGTGGAAATACTCGGTATTAAAAGGAAAAAATGTTTTTATAAATGTTGATTTGGTTTTGATTTTTTTTGTTCCCTACTCAAAATGTTCTTTTAATATTAGACAATATACATTTTCCTTTTTAAATATATTATTTTCACACCCAATCCTATTTTTGTATGCAAAATAGGAATAAACCAAAATTAATTCAAATTTAAGTGTGGTGGGTTTGTTTTGTTCATCAGTATCATTGTACAACAAAAAATAAATACTTTTCTTACAACTTAAGTTATTTATTGCCGAAAAACAGCTAGAAGCTTTGTTGTAGTGTAACTATGCGGAGATCATTTTTATAATCGAAACAAATGATCGTGCTGAAATGAAAATAATGTTTTTCCTCGAACTGAATGTGAATGGTATTTTCTAAATTTTTAGCGGGTTAAAAATATCAATACGCTATAAAATATTCAATATTATACTCTTTATAATGTACTTTATATAAATCTAGAAAGAACTTCAAAAAGAAAAAGAAAGAACTTGACTTCAAATACAGACAACTTTATTTTTTTTTTAAACTTGCATGTTGACTTAAACCGATCTATTGCGGATAGACAATAGTTTACGTTTAAACATTCAAGTAGCCTTTTACCTAAGTACACTTCACTAATTTATTAAAGATGCTGAATAATTTGACAAATGTCAAAATTTTTGCATTGCCAATAGGGAAGGGGAGAGCGAGACAGAATATTCCAAGCGGTCGTGGGAATCGAACTCTTGACGCCTAAGATCCGAGTATCTGATGTGTTAACCAGTCAGCTATCGTGGTTAATATTTGGAAAATAACAAATGTTTCCCTCTTAGTGGATGCAGTTTATTATTTAGAAAGCTATAAGCCATTGGTTTCGAACAAAAGAGAAAAATTTTCACTCATTCTCAAACTTTGGTATTTTATGTTGTGCTTTGCCGATTTTCTTGTATAAGTTCACTAAAGCTCTCCGCGGCCATTTCATTTGTCGCCGAGAATCAAATCGATTACACAACATTTGAAAAATGGCAAAAAGGAGGGAAAATTCAAAAGGTGGGGTTGAGATGAGAAGTTAGTGCCCTAGTGGATCGAAGTCACGATAGCTCAAGTGGTAGAGTAGCGGCGTATCAAGCCGAAGGTCGTGGGTTCGAATCTCACACTGACTTTTTCATCTCAACTTAAAACCTTAATTAGTTGAATTTAAACTTTACGTTTATTCAAATTCCAATTTGGTCTGGATGCCATGTTACATACATGTAATACCGTCCAATTGTCATCATCAGTATATCTGAGACTACTTGTATACGAACCTTGTAGAAAACAGTGTACGAGTTATTAAATAGTGAACGAGGGAAGCTAAAGGACTTTTAAAATCTATTTTTCGACCCCTAAAATTTTTCCGATTTTTAAGAAGTCGTTACAGGAATATCTGTTTGAAACGGCTAAAAATATTTTAACGTCAAAGAGACCATTTGAAAAAAGAGGAACGTAGCTTTTCAAAGACTTGCAAAGCATTAAAACATATGAAATATTTCTATAAGAAAATACACAAAATAACAAATTATTTGTCAGAAATTAACCTTTTTTAAATTAAAGTAATAGTCAAATTTTATTGTTTGATACAGTTATAAAATTCAGTTGACAATTTCTTTAAAAGGAATTATCAATTTCATTTGATACTTTATTTAATATTCAAATAAAAGAACCCTGTTCCCTTTAAGATCGGAAAGGAGGCCCAAATACTCGCTGACGTGCTCAAGCTCGATTCTCTATCCGGTGGTATTCCTACACGCTCTCTATACGGAGCCAATTCAGTTCAAGGAAATGGGACACATGGAGTAACCCTTCGGTGACATTCCAGCATGCTTTCTATATGGAGCCTTGGATTTGCACCCAGTAAATTCAATTCAAGTAGGACACACACATGGACCTCTACCTGCGTAACATATACTTGCGCTTTGGCCCAAAAGTAAGTGCCCGTGCATCAACTTTGCATGGTCTATTTTTAATCAGGATGACTCCTCTTCTACGATCCAGATCCTCCGAGGGCTCCCTCCTCAAAGGATAATCGCAAATAAGTAGGCATAAATCGTTAATTAGAGATTTTAAAAATAACATTTTTAGTGCGTTAATATCATTGTTGGTTAATATAAAAACAAAAATGTTATATGAACACTACGCAGAATATTTTAATTTGTAAAGATTTAAAAAGATAAGTCAACAAAATATTACTTTTTAGCACATCTTAACAAACATTCTGAAAGCAAAGTAGGTTAGAAAATCGTCGAAACTTGGATTGGTCCTCATTGTCGTGGTTCTAGCGCTATAACACCCTTAGATACCGACTTTCGTGGAAATCGGTGAAAATTAATTTTTTGACTGACAATTTCGACGACAACGAAAAAATTTAAAATACCTGATGCTTGTTTTTGATACTATTACCATATTTTCAAATCTAACTCAAAGAGCTGAGTTGATGGTTTGAAGCCATTTCAAGGAGCTTACCGCTTTTTATTAATGTAAATAAGTTTTGAAACTTTCCAGAATTCAGGAAAATACCTCAAGAGAAGCAAGAGAACTTATCTACCAAGGGACGACCAGGTTGGTGTGTCACGGATTTGGACCAAACTTTTTTGGTGATTCGAAACTCCAAATATCGAACACTCCTCGTGCATAGGCCCTGGTTTCGCCAAAAAAATTTAAAAGTTGAAAGTTATCGTAATTTTAATTAATTAATTTATTTTTATTTCGTCGTTCAACTTGTTCTTGATTTTATATTAACCAAGAATGAATTTATTACACCAATACTGTTATTTTTTTAATTTTTAAAGAACGATTTATGCCATTTATTTCAATTTACTTTATACTTACAACTTTTATTAATATTTTAATTTATACAATATAAATAAATTCATTCAACCCGAATTATACTTTGTCTCTCCTGTGTCAAAATTGAAGAATTTGAATTTTGTTGAAAATGTGCTGGAGAAATATGCTGACTAATGTCTCAGTCTTTAAATAAAATCAGAATAATAACATAAAACAAAAACATAAAAACCAAAATGTTCCTTAGGGGACACCAGTCCCAGAATAAAGTTATTTTTCTTCTTCTTCTTCTTTTTCTTCCTCTTTTACGATCCAGATCCTCCGAGGGCTCTCTCCCCAAAGGACAATCGCAAATAAGTGGGCATCAATCGTTACTTAGAGATTAAAAAATAATATTTCTGGTGCGTTAATAGCATTGTTGGTTAATATAAAAACAAAAATGTTATATGAACACTACGCAGAATATTTTAATTTGTTAAGATTTAAAAAGATAAGCCAACAAAATACTACTTTTTTGCATATTTTCACAAACATTCTGAAAGCGAAGTAGGTCAGAAAGTGGTCGAAAATTGGATTTGTCCTCATTGTCGTGGTTCCAGCGTTATATCACCCTTAGATACCGACTTTCGCATAAATCTGTGTAAATTAATTTTTTGAGTGTTAATTTCGACGACAACGATGAAATTATGAAATTCCAGATCCCTCCATTTTATACTACTACCATATTTTCATGGTTTTCGGAGAGCTGAGTAAGCTAATTGGTCTGTAGTCCGAAAAGATTTCATGGAGCTTACCGGATTTTCAGGAAAACAGCTCAAGAGAAGCAAGAAGGCTTATCTACCAATGGGACGACCAGGTTGGTGTGTTCATTTGTACCAAACTTTTTTGGTGGTTCTGAACTCCAAAATATCGGACAGGTATCCGCCACTTCGGGTTTTGTTCCTAAAGTACTTGTCAGTGCGTCAACCTGTCTTGGCCTACTTTTAATCGGGTGAGGAAGACTCCTCTTCTACGACTCAAACCCTCGAGGGCTCCCACGACAGTGATCTTAATTAAATACTGTCATCATCTCTTTTTTTTCGGTAAGTTTCATTTAGCAACAGTACAATGGTATAATAATCTCTGATGAAATAGTGCCAATAAAAACATCACCGTTTGTTTACGAATCTGCAGCGACATATTTTTCACCTCTTATGTAGTTATCAAAATCAATTAAACTCCTCGACGAGAGGAGTTTAAACAGAAAACATTTATTAAAGTGCCAGCCCAAAGTTCAAGGTTTCAATCTACTGGAAACAGAAAAACCCATTAGGACTGTACAAAATCTAAAATACAAAGTGCTCAAATCAATTTTAAAAACTAGATAAGATTAAATTTCTATATATGACAGAAAAAATACATAGTGTTTTCTTCAATCAATCATATCTGACGAAACGATGAATTTCTATTACATTATTTTGACTATCGCCCTCTTCCAGGTAAATTTTTTTTATTTTTTCATTTTGAACCAATTAAATTATTCTTATCTTTTAATCGGTGATGTTTAAATCAGAAGAAGAACAATTTTTAAATGAGCCTACTTGGCAACAATGAACTGAGATACAGAGAACTTTTTTGCAAGTCGCTGAATTTTCCGAGAGAATTTGGAATGTAGAGTTTTGCCTTTTTTTATAATGTTTATATAAGCCAGGAGGAACGTTGTTCTTCGGGTTACAAAAAATTAATGAACAATCAAATAACCTAATAATAGTCGCTGCTAATTTTAGAAATTACACGAAAATCGATTGAATAGGTGGATCCTTTCTTACTGTTTGCCATTATTTTACCTGAAGATAGTTAGTTCTCATCCATTTAGAGACATATCGATGAAATTTGAAAATCCCTCGACACATTCTCTTAAGCATTAAAATTAAATCTGTTGTAGATGTAATTATTTAACATTTTTAGGTCGTCAAAGCCAGGTCAGTGGCGGATTTCGAAGATATGAAGGGCCTGATCCTCGGGGATGAAATGGTCCTGCAACCCCCAATCCAAAGCCTGTCCATCTTCGACTCCTGTTTGAATTTGAGCACCAGTTTGGAGGACGCGTTGCATCTCTCCTGGAAGATGATCTCCTGGGCCTATGAAAAGTCGCAGGTGATCAGCTCAGATCTCGTCAAAATTTCTGAATGCACTGGTTTCACAACCATCCCCTGCATCCAAGGACACCTCTCAGAATTAAAAAAAGACCTCGGCGGGTTGACTACACCGATCAGAAAGTTCCAACACGATGCCTCGAAGCTCTTGTGGGAAATAAAGGACGAAGTGCTTTCCTGTATATAAAACAATTACGAAACACACATGTATAATATACTGTAAATAATTCTAATTGAACAAAAACAATATACTTTTCATTATTTTCTGCTGTTCGTTTATGGGAATGATAACGTATAAAATATTTTTTTACCAATGCTAAATCAAAAACTAACTTTCATCAGTGCAATGAATTTTTTTGAAAATAAATACAGCAAATTCTCCTATTGTCTGATAAAACAAAGACAAAATTCTTCAATTGATGAATTATTAGAAAACAGGTCAACAGTAGAAATTTCGAATCTACCGCAAGTAATACTCAATGTAAAATTGAGTATTTCAAAATTCTAGATTGCGTATCTTTACACAAGTGGAAAAACAATTTGTCTACGTTATTTGTCAATTTGTCAATTAATATCGAAACCCATGTTCTCTGATTATGTCTTGTAAAAACCTCAATGAAGTTTGAGATCTACCTCGCACAACCAATTAGGTCCAGGCGTGCAAGGAAATGCCACCTCAGAACAACAAAGCCCTATCTGCCACGATAAGAACCATACAGCATGGCGCGTACCCTTTATTTTCCTTTATCGCTTCCGTGTGAAATTAAAACCATTTGAAATTTTGTTGCCAAATCCTACCTTATATGTAAAGAGAACCCGTCCCCAAACTTCCAATGTCCAATTCAAATGTTCCCGTGGAAATTGAAGCCTGGTCATTTTCTGAGTTGTAGTCCACGAGCCGGGTGCCGGGCCCTGAGGTCATTTCCAATGATCTTTCTTATTACGGTCCTGGAGGAAATCGAAACATTTCCGGCTTGCCTTATGAGATTTTTATGTCATTTCCCTTAATGCTGCGGTTTCGTAGAGTCTGATGATGTCTCACTCGTCCTTGGACCTAGGCCGACCCCCGCCTTTTGTGTGAAGCCCTGTTTCTTTGAAGCGCCGAAGAATCCTTCCTATTGTAGAATTATTTACACTCAGTCTTCTGACGACTTCAACTGGCTTTATCCTTCCTCTTATGATATTTTAACTAACTTAAATGCTTGCCTGGAGCCATTGAAATTTTTTTTTTTAATAAGAATAATGTGTGGTGATTAGTGACGGTTAATCGATAATTATTCAGAAATCGTGAGATGCGGTCTGGTGTGATGTAGGTTTCAGAAAAACATTTTCTTTATCGTGCCAATTCAAATTCAATATAGATAACATACATATATCATAACATTACATTTCACACATCAAATATTTTTCACATAGTCTAATTGCCCAACAATTTAGTTTTCCTTTTCCTATTTATCCCTTTCTTGAAAGGAAAATCTGGCCGAACCATTACCAACACATTGTTTCCTTTCGTCGGCTCTTTTCACCTCAAAGAAGCCGACGCCTTAAACAAAAATGTCTTTTCTATACCGACTTCCTTCCCCACCCCTTTAAAATCCAACGTGTATAAACATAAAACAGCAAAATCTCACTGGCACAATTACACAGAAGACAAACACTTTGAGTGAGTAGAAATACTTTGATTGAAAATATATTTTGCATTGTATAAATTCACTTTTTCACATCCTAAATGTATTTGTTAAATGTAAACAATGTTTGTAAATCCCAGGCCCTGAAGATGATCTCAATAAAGATCGAAACGTTGGCACGATAAAGAAAATGTTTTTCTGACACCTACATCACACCAGACCGCATCTCACGATTTCTGAATAATAAGAATAATATCAAATGAAATCAACGAATGAAACAGATCAACCGAAAGACATTTTTAGACGGTCCAGAATGGAAGGGCATAAGGTTACTTTTTGTGCAAATGGTATTAATCAGTACAAAAGTAAATAACAGTAAGACGACAACTCCTATTTTCCTGAAATGAATGTCAAAAGATAATGGATTTAATTCTTAACCTATATAAATTGAGTGGTGCGTTAAATTTGTCCATCAATGTACATAATACTGATAGTTTTGTATCCCTAGTTTGTGTTGAGAGTGAATGTATTGATTGGCGTAAATGTGCAGTGTGAGAAGACCGGTGGCCGAATATTGAGTTCCTCAATCGGAAAAGTTATGTAAAACGTTGATCAGTAAACGTTGATGGAGTAATACTTCACACCCTAATTGAGTAAATGGTATGTAAAGAGGAAATAATATATTTAAGAGTGGGTGGAAGAACGGGTTTGCATTTAAACAGTGATTACGTTGGGAGCTGAAATGAACTAGCTGTTGATAGTCTCAGATAAAAAAACCTCAGTGGTTGTACGGAGAAGACGAGGTCCGATTTCTGACCCGAACCCCTAGGTGGGTAAATTATTGTAAATTACCCAAAAGGCGGAATCCCTGTGAAGAGCTGAGCTTATATACATCAGTTATCAGTTATGAGAGTGTGCCGCACTGGGAAAATAGTACGTGAGAGTATTTGCGAAGATAGTGGTTGTCGGTTCGAATCCCGTCATAGCCAATGGAATTTTAAACGGAAAGTTTAACGCCACGCCCGCAATACCCGGTAGTCGGCCGTTAAGCTCTATTCTATGGCAGGATGATATATAGTTCATAATCATTGAGCTAGCAAATGTTTTAATGAGTAAAATAATAAATATTAAACAACAATAGAATGACATGGAACTGCATTTTCCATTGTTACAATATTCACAACTTTTCACCATTTCTAGACATCTTCTTATTTACACTCTCAGGTTTTGAATGCACAATATGTTGAACCGTCACATGGATACCTTTGTTTTAAATTTGTACGATGTTTAATAATGACAAAAGCACGTCATATACGCAATATGTGATGTCTTGGGGATATTTAGGATGTAATAATTTTTGTTTCGTCCTGACAGTGTTGTGATAGAATCGATAACCTACTGAGCAAGTGTTTTTCTTCTTCTTCTATTTATGCCGCCATCTCCTTTTGAAGTCTCTCTGAACCTTTGAAACCGCTACTCGAGACTGTTTCAACGATGACTTAAGCCAGGAACACACTTACCCGATGCTACACGACGCCTTGCCACGTTTTCGCGGGGTGTGCACATCTGCCCGACACAAGTACACGTCGCGTACAGTCCACAGCGTTTATCACAATAATCACTATCACAATCGCAACGCATCTTTTGTTCTTAATGCACTATTTTGAGCAAAACCTTGTAATAAATTGTTGGTTAAATGTTATGGGCACAACCATCTAATAAATTGTTTGTTAAACTTAATTGTTTTAAATAAAGTTACTCCTAACCATCTAATTAAACAATGTTTATAAAAACTTATGCATTTTTGATCTCGTTTAATTTGGTTTACATTAAAATAACATGTTGTAATTAATATAACGACAAAATTACATGAACTTAGTATGAAATAAACTACAAAAAATATGATGTCCTGTTCTGATGCTACCTGACATTAGAAAATGGTGTAATTGTACGAGCAAACCTATGAAATAAATTGTTAATTAAATTTTATGAGCAAAACCGTGCAATAAATTGTTCCAATTTTAGTATATGTACCGCCGAAGCGAGTACAATAAATTGTTAATTAAATTCATTATATCAAAAAATCGTATTCCAGTGTTTTGATTAATTTTCTACCAAACCATTAAAATTATTTTTTAAAATAAAAACTAATTAATTTTTAATCACAGTTTATTTGGTTTCTATTAAAATAAGTATGTTGTAATTAATATAACAACAATAATACATGTAGTTTGAATAAAAATATGGGTGTCCGGTTCTTTTGTCTTTGACTGTACTAGATGTGACCCGACGAAAATCTGGACAGTGGATCGCAGAGCGTTGGGTAGCATCGGGTAGCGTCGCATGGCGTAGCATCGGGTAAGTGTGTTTCTGGCTTTAAACCTGCGTCTCAGATCTTTAAGCAACGTGTTCTTCCAAAGGATATCGTATCGACGCTACTGAGGGATGTGGGATCGGAGCATGATTATATATGAACATATTTTAACGAGCCTTAGAAAAAACTTTTTTTTTCTCGTTTATTCGAAGTCCAAATGATTCGCTCATGTTGATTATTTTTGACTCTGGCAAAAGCCGTTGAACAGTACGAGGCGAAAAATAGTTAATAACATTTTAACGTCTTTTTGGGAAGAAGAAAGGGTTGAAGCATTTCCCGATTACTGGGCCAGCCAAACTATGACCGGGGTAACGGTAACTTTGCAAGGATATATTACACAGGATGGGCCACCAAGACAAGAGGAGTTAAAATTCCTGGGTAGGCTCGTACCCAATAGCTCTGCAAGGATACTTCCATAAGTTCGAAGCAACAAACATCGGAGTGCAAAGTCCAAGAAGGGCATCGAGCACATGATCTTCTGCGAGAAGTCTTAGAAAGAGCGTGTCTTACTTATAAAAGAGAACTCTAGTAGCTGGCCGCCTACTCTCAAAGACCTAGTGTAAAGGACCCAACTCCACCAGACTGCCTTGTAGAAATAATCACGCATGGGCAACAAGCAAAAAAGATTCTGAAAGACTTTGCAATCACTGAAAAAAAAACTAGCCTCTGCAATCAATCAGAAAAACTTTTCGTTAAAATAGAGGCAAAACGTGTCTCTGAAGATGATCAAAACGTTGGCACGATAAAGAAAATGTTTTTCTAAACTTACATGTACAAGGCAGGATCTCTCGATCTCAAAATGATCATTAATTAACGGCCTCTAAATACTATATATTTCTACTAGTATTTTAAAACTGTTTCCGTGATGGACATTTTATTCGTGTTTATTTTGTTAAGTAACTTCCAATCAATTGTAAGGAAATTTTATCTCGGGATGTTTTCCTTTTGACTTAATTAGACGACGTAAAATTTTAATACTTACTTGTAAATACTTAAGAAAATTTGACAGCCCTACTAGAAACTAGTGCAATAGAAAAAAACCAACAAAAGGAAATACTTTGAATGATAAATATGTTTAAAGTTATATCATTTCCTTTATCTTCCTCTGGCATCCTTAAGCGAACCCAAATGACGACCTTAAGAAATTATCCCCTTCCCAAAAAAAGTAAATGGATAAATAAAAATTCGTTATTTTACATGCCAAGTAGTCGTTTGTTCCGCTGGTATGAGGATGGGAAAAAGACCATAATACAAGAAAGTTATT